AGGGGGAGGGTAACAATTGCCAAATATGGTTTACTAAGGGGTTCACATTTGCTGAAAGCCATTGCACAGGTGGGGCAATATTGCTGTCTGTAAGTGTGCCGCACACGCTGATAACAAAATTGCAGGACTGTTTCAACAGGAGACGCCAGGGCAGATGCAGCAGCGAAGGCCGTGGCAGCACAGCAGACAAAAGAAACTACGTGAATTTTACTATCTGAAAATAACCTCGACATTTGTTTTTCTCTACAGATCATGCAGACTTTTGATACAGGGCAGAATGTGCCCAATAAAATGATGGCTATGGATGAATTTGGCTAACTATCCTGGCCTGGGTTATTATTGTAGCAGAAAGGTGCCACACCTGCGCAGCGCATAACTTAAGATTTTCCTTTTGCAGAATGTCAGGATGGATTGCATCAAACAGAACTGATTCTGTTCCAAATATATAAATATTGACATGAGCAAAGTGGGTTGAGTGTTTTTTTCAGGGGAGAAAGGAACCCTGTGCTATTAAGTGAGCAAGAAATGATCCGGTGATAATATGTTTCAGGTTGTTGATTCCACAGGTCACACCAAAAGGGACGAGCGGCTAGACACGCGTCACTAACAAAATACTTAAGGTCTCCATTCACAGGTGAAAGCAGGCAAGAAATGGTTCACTCCAGTGGGGGTGCGGTCGTGATTTAAGGGTAAACCTTGTAAGGATCAGAAAATGGTTGGAGAATGTGACACCTGGGTCCAAGCCTCTCACCTTAGACAACACCAACAGGCCTCAACCATCCAATAGAGCATAAAGTGAGGTTTAAAGAAGACTGTGCTAGTAACTGTCTGCCTCGCCTACGAGGGAAAGACCATTGCAACGGCACGCAAAGTGTCACCCTGGCGAACACGGAACGTCCGTGGGGCGAACGAGATGATCAACACACCTGGAGGAACCAACTGCCAACTGATGGTTTAAGTTTAACAGAAGAATCTGTTTTTGTGATGATTTTGATGATTTTGTTTGATTGAATCAAACTAGGTATTGATTTGATTGTAAATGTAGAAAATCTATTGATTGATGTGTCCGTACAAGAGATATTAGAGTTAATTCTGAACAACTAATTTGGTTAGAGGAATGGATAAAATTATAAGACTTCTCTGGTTAGATTTGTTAAACAGTGCGTTCAATAGAGCTTACTAAATTGAATTTGAAGTGAATAAATGGAGATGGGCATAGATTAATGGAAAAGGCTTAAAGAGCATATTGTAGGTAAAAAAAACAACTAAATTAATATATAACCTTGTATGAAAATACCATATGAAAAGGTAATGCAGGATTTAAAATGTTTTAAAACGACATAAGGGCACTAATTTAGTAGATAAAGTGAGCTTTCTTGGACTGCTCATAAAAACGGCTTTTTTTCAACATCGCGTCATTTTACGTCACGCTAGGGAGCCTCAGCCTCGCCTCAGTGCAGAGTAGGCTGGCATTCAGTGAGAGCGGCCGTGAGTCAGTGTGTTTTCGGTAGTTATTGTATTTCAATCTATCATCGTAATGGTAAATTATTGTGTTTGTGGAGGTTGCAAAAACTCCGGCCTGTCAGGACATCGAGTCCACAGGTTTCCCACACAAGAAAAACGGTGCTGCTGTATATCTTTCGTGCCTGGTGCGGTTTGTGCAGGTGAAGAGACGGGATTTCTCTTCCGCATCGGCTTCGAGAAACGCGGTCGTGTGTAGCTTTCACTTCAGATCGTGTGTAGCGTTCACTTCAGATCGTGTGTAGCGTTTACTTCAGATCGGAGGATTATCATCCCGGCGATATGATGGAGTTTAACATGGGATGCCGAAGCAAGAATATTGATCGTCGTATACTGTACCAATGGCATCAAATAGTGTGATATAGGTAGTCATGCCCTAAATAGAGGCAACTTGTAATTGAAAAACAAAATTACTAGGTTGATTAAATATTAAAATCTTTAATTTTCTGTTTATGTTATAACCCAGATGAAAAATATGTTTTAAAAATGTACTTGAGTATGTTTTTAGTAACTTACAATAGAAATATACTCAAGTATAGTTTTTATACATTTAATAGTATACATCTACCCTAAACATACTAATGTCTGCTGGCCTGATATACGATGGTAATAATCTGTACAATATTGTGAGCACAGTGTATATCGTTAGCGAACGTGTATCTATAAGCACGTCTCTCACCAAGACACCTGTCCTGTTCTCCACTGGTTCTCCTCACACCACAACTCAATGTGTCTCTGACCGTTCTGTCTGACATTAATCCTGGCCTGTCCCTACTCTCTGGCAGCATAGCAGGCTCATAATTGTATGGCTGTAGTCCATAATTGTAAGTAAGTATTTCCTCAGCGTCCGAAATGTCATTGCGATCCATTGTTTTCCTGTTGTTTGAATCGACCGCTCTCCCGCCCGTTACGTCACGCCCACCACACCCATTTTCAGACGCGGAAGTAAAATTTTCTCACAAAAACGACTCCAGAAGCTTATGTAGCGTATTTATAAGAATATTTTAAAGAAAATCTAGTTCCTACATTATTTTTCTATACATTGACTCGTTGGGTCCTCTAACCTGCAATATGCCCTTTAATGGTAGGAGCTAGGATTGTATGTGTTATGATAATTTTGTTATTCATGGGTGAATACGAAAACAGAGACAGGTGAAAACCTGCTGTCTGTTCAATTGGTAAAAAATGACAGTCTATCCCAAGGATTAACAAAATTATGCGACGAGACAGGTAGCGGAAGCTACAGTGAGATGTGTTAAATGTATGTTCAGTTTGTTTTTCTGAGAAAGATTAAGGGCAAAAGATTTAAAGAAGGTTACAAACAGCAGTCATCCGTGTTACAAGGTGGCGTACAAGGACAGGGTTTGAAATGAGGGATTTTATTCTACTTTTATTCATTATGTTTGGATTGATGGTTTTGTTTTCCTACTAATCTGTAAACTATTTCTTGTTTATTCTGAGGTTTATTCTTGTTTAGACTGAGGGTCTGATCTAGGTCAGGAGTGCAATAACAGTGCTTATTCATTCAGCCCGGCTTCAGATAAAATCTTTACTTGCTTGCTAATAGTTAAGGGGCTATCCCCACAAAACAGCCTAAGTTTTTTTACTTTTCAAAATGTTATTTCACAAATGTTTAAGAAGAGTGATAATTTATACAAAAGTCAGAAATGAAAAGTATAAGTGTGATGATATGACTTAAAATTTGTCTTATTGTTTATTATTATGATTATGGGTAATCTGAATGATAAAAAGCGGGGAATTGGTGAGGAAATTTTAATAGTCATTGATCCCATTGGTCCCATTGTGACGTTTCAGGAACATATGGGACAGGACAACTGACCTTAGGGACGGCCAGTTTTGGCCAGTTTATTTCAGTACCAGTTTGTGTCTTTAAGTAGAGACTAAATAGCAGTAAGGACCTTATCTGGGTGGGTGAAAGGTACAGCGGGTGAAGAGGAACCTTGAAAAGAGTATAAAGGCTGTCTCATATCTTCCTGTTGTGTGTCACTCTCATGCACAGCGTAACTTCTGTGTGTCAGACTGAACCTATTCTTGCAAGAATAAATCATTTTAAAAGACCTTTTATCTCAGAATGTTTATCTCGGAATGATTATTGATTATTTCATTAAAAAGTCTAATAATAATAATAATTTAAAGGTGCCCTAGAATGTTTTTTATTATTATTTTATAATGTTTCCTGGGTTGCCCTTATAATGTTAGTATGTTTTTTAGATCAAAAATAGTCCTAATTTAGAAATAAAAGGCATTTTTCCTAGCCTGATTTTAGCCTCTGATTTGAACGCTCTGTTTGAAGGGGCGTGTCTGCTGTGGGATTCAGTGTAACCGGCCACTGCTGTGATTGGCTGACATGCTTGCATATGAAATAGCTATGTATTACATGTGAAACTCTCTCGAATAATTTTACTACAGCTATTATACGTTTTTACTATTACAGCTATCGAGATTAACGAATCGTGAGATGTTTTTAAAGTATTTAGATCTATTCCCATCACATAAAATGTTGCGTGATGAGCATTGAGCAAACAGATGAAAGTCTGTTGATCGCGAGAATGAAGATCTTACCATTGTAACGCAGTTTCTGCACTCTCTCCAATGCTTTCACCAATGCAAACACGATGATGTACATACAGTAAGAGCTTTGTTGTGCAGTGTAACGTGCGCCATTGATTTCATAACGAGTTGTCCAGATAAACTTGCACTGTGTGGAAAGATTGTTATTTGATCGCTTTCTGTATATAATTTATTCACAATTTAAATACGTTTTTTTTCATCCTACTAAAAGAAACGATGTGAAGTTGACATTTTAGTCACTGGCTTGACTTACTGATGCATAAACATTATTGAACGATTTTGAGAGAAAGATTACCTGTCTGAACTTGAACAATTACACATCAGAAAGTGTTGCTTGGTAGCTCGATCCGAGGCCAGCTCTGTATTGGCCTAAGTTGAGGAAACAGTCGTCTGTGAAATGTTTGGAAATTTCCAGAGAAAATAAAATTAACCCATTGTTTCTTCAGAGGCTCGGATGAAGGAACTAAAGAATACATTTGTGTTCATGTGTACATCCAAACACTGAGCAACTGCTATGCTTCGGCTGCGCAGTTCCCTGTCATTGAACATGGGCTGGCATATGCAAATTTTTGGATTCGTACATATTAATGATCCCAACTGCTGCGTCACAGTCGGTGTTATGTGGAGATTCGCCTATTTTTCAGAGGTGTTTTTCAAAAACGAGATTTAAGTAAGAAGGAGAAAACAATGGTGTTTGAGACTTACTGTATGTCATGTCCATGTACTGAACTCTTGTTATTTAACTATGCCAAAATAAATTCAATTTCACATTCTAGGGCACCTTTAGAAATTAATAATTATAAAAAAAAAAAAAAAAAAAATCGGTTTCGGTTTTCGGCCAAGTGCATCCATATATATAGATATAGATACATAAATCACACACTTACCTCAGGATCATTTGTGCTGAGAGGCTCCAGCATCATCTTGTTATGAGATTCCCATGTGTTATTTGTTTGGCCGTTGAGCTGAGCCATAGTTGATTTCCTCTAGAGGAAAAAAATGTTACTGTTAAATGTGAGAAGACTTCCATATGCAAAACAAACTGTATACAGTGGGTTACATCATTTGTAATAGAAGCATTAATGTACTTGTGTTTGAGTGCTTAGACTTTAAAACAGGGTATTCTTGGCTCAAATGCACAGTATGATTATTGATCTATAACTACTGAGTCTTGCTTAGACTGATATTCGGTAATCTGCAGTGTAGTAATCTGCGTTGTCATTAACTGAAATAAAGCAGAAACAAATCAAAATATTTGACTAAAAACATTTTTTTTTACTTAAAATGCAAAAATTACTAAAACAAATTGAAATAAGTTAAATAGAAATATTTAAAACAAACAAAACTGAAAATATAAAAATAAATGCTAATTCAGAATATGAATATAATAGTAGCTATAGTCTCCAACACGTCGCTTGTGAGCTACCAGTAGTGTCACATTCTCCAGTCACCAGCCTAGTCACCACAGAACTACATTTCCCAGTATCCCTCCTGATCTCCACCTGCCCTCAGTCAGCCATCACCACACCTGCTGCTTATCATCCCCTCTCATTTATACACACACATAAACATCGACATCTACCCTCAGGCCTTCATTTGAAAACACATCTTTTTCTCTTCGTTTTGGCCTTCCGTCCCAAGACGGCGTTTTTATAAAACGCTCTCCGAAGTGGATAAATTTGAAAACACCTTTTCGCGTTGTAGAGTGGATTGTCAAAATGGAGGTATTTAAAAACGATGGCGCAAGTTTAGTCATGTGATTATTGTTCCAATAGATATTCATGTTTATTCCAAGGTTATTTTCGTAAACGAAAACTGAAACTAAGACAAAGGCTATGTTTACACGGAAACGATCTGAAGAGAAAACGCAGAAGTGGCGTTGCGTTATCGCTTTTTATTCTGCGTTTAGACAAGTGTTTATGGGTGGGAAATCAGCGTGCATATGGTGACGCAAAGGAGGTGGAGTTATGCTGCGTTCCAGGCAGGTTTTTGAGCACGTAAATCACGACTTCAAACCACGACTCACGACTTTGTCGCGTTCCAGGCCAGTCACGCCAAACTACCTGAGCGCAAGGAATTGTGGTAGCTAGATGTAAACAAACCATTGTTGTTTTGTATGGTTTCGCGGGCTATGTGACGCCAGAGCTCGTAACTGGGAGTACATCGATCTAGTACGAGTTCACGGGTGGGAAGTCACGGGTTTGACTGCCGTTCCAGTGCACTTTCACGGGTATAAGGTTGGAAAAACATGGGTTACAGTTCTCTTACGAGAGGTTCTCTCGTATTGAGTAAGCTAGCTTACGCTACGGGAAAGATTCATCTTTTCTGAGAATTTGAAGCCAAAAAATTATCCTATAATTTTGTATCCATTGTCAACGCAGTTCAGCTGCAGCAGACCATGGCCCTGTCCCAAATGGCACACTTCATGTGCACTTTCGGTCTTGTGGACTTACAATGGCTGCCGCGTGCGCGTGTCCGTTAAGTCCGTGAGACCGTAGTGTGTCCCATTTGTCATTTTTAGATCTCAGAAGGGTGCTCGCGAGCGCCCCCTCTGCGGTCGATTTGCGCCCTTGATGCGCACTTTTGCCGAGCCCGCGCTGATGCGGACTCCACAGCAGACTTCTTCCCGACATTCAAAGCGGCGTTACGTCGCGAAAGTGCGGACTCAGAGGAAGACCGCGAGTGCTTAGGGTTCCATTTGGGACAGGGCACATGAGCGGGCTAGCTAGCAGCTCATTGGTTCGCTCACAGAGAACTGCTTAAGCCTATGAGGAGATGCTAATGAACTCTCGGCCAATGAGAGTCTGACCTGCTCTCATTGCATCAGAGCCCGCCGAAACGGGTGTGGTCAGAGAGTATAACTTGGCGTCCTAGGCTGTAAACTCTGGTTTTCATAGAATGAAGCGAGAACGCTAGTAGCACAAGCACGGCCAGGAACACAATACTCGTTCCCTCATCTAGAGAGAACCGAGGTTACGTTAGGTAACCGATTCGTTCTCTTACGAGAGGTTCTCTCGTATTGCGTAAGCTAGCTTCGTACATGTTAAGATGGATTTGCTCATCAAATATCTCGGAAGAGAATCATCTGAACATGTACGAAGAATAAAATCAGTTAATATTAGGCACCCTTTTGAAGGTCTACAAATGGCTTGGGAGAGGCTGGAGGAAATGTATGGTTCAGCAGAGGCAATTGAAAGGGCTCTCTTCTCCAAATTAGAAAGCTTCCCTAAAATATCAGGTAAAGATCTCTATAGGCTGCGTGATCTTGGAGACCTGCTTGCAGAGCTAGAGGCAGCCAAGCTGGATGGCTATCTTCCTGGGTTGTCTTACCTTGACACTGCTCATGGTGTGAGCCCGATTGTAGGAAAACTTCCTTATGGTATCCAAGAAAAATGGATATCGTATGGATCGAAGTACAAGAGAGAACATTATGTGGCCTTCCCACCATTTTCTGTGTTTGGTGACTTTATTCGTTCAGAAGCTAAAACAAGAACAGATCCCAGCGTTGCCATTTTTCCTTCAGCACCGCCACAAGAAAAAAGAGAAAGATCAGATCAATTCAGGCAAGCTTCTATAGCTGTTCATAAAACCCAAGTTAACATGTCTGAAACGAGATGCTACAGACAGGATACAGATTGTTGATCCTCAACGATATTGTCTCATTCATGATAAGCCTCATCCACTAATAAGATGCAGAGGCTTTAGAGCAAAAAGTCTTGAGGATCGCAAACAGTTTCTTAAAGAACATTCAGTATGCTTCAGGTGCTGCTCTTCTGTAGATCACATGGCAAAAAACTGCAAAGCTGAAATCCATTGCACTGAATGTGATAGTGATCGTCATGTGTCAGCTCTACATCCTGGTCCAGCGCCTTGGAGGAAAACAATCTCTCCTGTCTTAGAAGATGGCGGGGAGGAAGATGAATTAACCAACCAAGAGGTAACCTCAAATTGTACTGAAGTGTGTGGAGCTGGAAAGAGTGCCAGAGCATGTTCCAAGATTTGTTTGGTTAATGTCTATCCTGTCGGTAACAAAACCGAATCCAGAAGAATGTATGCAATTCTTGATGAACAGAGCAACCGCTCATTAGCGAGAACAGAATTCTTTGAAGAGTTTCAAATCAAAGGATCTTCTTTTCCATATTCACTCAAGACATGTGCTGGATTAAAAGAGACAACAGGAAGGAGAGCAAGTGGCTACATTGTGGAATCATTGGATAAGAGTGTAAGTCTTCATCTTCCTACACTGCTAGAGTGCAATCAGATTCCTAACATTCGTTCTGAAATTCCTACCCCAGATGCAGCACGTCATTTCAGTCACCTGAGGGATATTGCTCATGAAATACCGTCCCTAGACCCAGATGCTAACATCCTTCTCCTCCTTGGTAGGGACCTCATTAGGGTCCACAAGGTCCGTCAGCAGATTGATGGTCCACCCAACGCTTCATTTGCTCAAAAGTTAGATCTTGGATGGGTAGTTATTGGAGACGTGTGTCTTGGAGGTGCTCATCGACCTGCTCATGTAGATGTTTTTAAGACCTCCATACTTGAAAGTGGTCGCCCCAGTTTATTCTGGCCCTGTGAAAGTCAGTTCCATGTAAAAGAGCAGTATGGCACAAAATTTCAGTTTCAAGATCATCTTACATCAAAAAATGTAAGTGTTTTAGCAACATGTGCAAGTGAGAAGCTAGGCCAATCAATCTTTGTTCGTACATCCAGAGATCACAAGCTTGCACTGTCAGTGGACGATGACAGGTTTCTACGCATAATGGACAAAGAGTTCTACCAAGATGAATCCAATGGCTGGGTGGCTCCTTTGCCATTTCAAGTTCCCAGAAGAAGGCTTCCAAATAACAGAAAGTATGCTTACAGCCGTCTCTCCTCACTTCGTCATACTTTGGACAAACGTCTTCAAATGAAAGCTCATTTTCTTGAGTTTATGGAGAACATGTTCTCTAAAGGACATGCAGAAATTGCTCCCCCACTCAAGAAAGACCAAGAATGCTGGTATCTGCCATTGTTTGGTGTTTATCATCCGAAGAAGCCAAGCAAGATCCGTGTGGTCTTCGATTCTAGTGCACCTTATGATGGAGTCTCATTGAATGATATCCTACTTAAGGGGCCAGATCTCAACAATACCCTCCTGGGAGTGTTGCTAAGATTTCGTAGGGAGCCAGTGGCGATCACCGCTGACATTCAGCATATGTTCCACTGTTTTTTAGTCAGAAAGGATCACAGAGATTTCCTGCGCTTTCTCTGGTATCAAGACAATGACCCTGGTAAAGAAATAGTGGAATACAGAATGTGTGTACATGTGTTTGGCAATCGTCCTTCTCCTGCTGTTGCCATATATGGTTTGCATAGAGCGGCCAAGGAGGAAGAAAAGAACTTCGACAGTGAAATTAAAGAGTTTGTTGAACATGATTTCTATGTTGATGATGCTCTGAAATCCTTCCCAAATGAAACCGCAGCAATTAGTGCTCTGAAGCAAACTCAAGACATGCTTGCAGTAGCAAACCTTAGGCTACATAAAATAATCTCCAATCGACCTGCAGTGATTGAGGCATTTCACCCTCAAGATCGGGCTGTGGATATCAAAGATGTTGATCTCTTCTTTGAAGATACTCCAGTCCAGCGTAGCCTAGGAGTGTCGTGGACTTTAGCATCAGACACATTTACTTTCCAAGCTATTGACGATAAGAAGCCATTCACCCGGCGAGGTGTACTGTCAACCGTAAACAGCTTATATGATCCTTATGGTTTCATTGTTCCTGTTACCATCAAAGGCAGGCTGTTGCTTCGGGAACTCTCAAAGCAGGCTGAAGACTGGGATTCTCCATTACCTGATGACATAAAGCCAGAATGGATCAGATGGAGGAATTCCTTACAAAACCTGCAAGATCTAAAGAGACAACGAACTTACTCATCTTTTCCTACTTCAGAGGTTCAGATAAGGGAATTGTGTATATTTGCAGATGCATCCGTGAAAGCTGTTGCAGCTGTAGCTTATCTGCGATCCACATCTCAAAATGGCCAAGCAGATACTGGTTTTGTGTTTGGAAAGACAAAGTTGGCACCACAGCCAGATCTGACTGTTCCAAGATTAGAACTCTGTGCAGCAGTTCTAGCAGTTGAGATCGCAGACATGGTTGTAGAAGAAATAGGCTTGCAGTTCAATAATATCCAGTTCTACACAGATAGTAAAGTTGTTCTTGGGTATATTCATAATCGAA